ACAGAGAAAGTCACAGTACCTGTTGTATTCCCATCCCTGTCCCATGACTTTGTGTGTTTTGCATCTGTCTCAGCCTGTCGACAGTGACGCCATCACCAGGATGCCTAGGACACCCACCTGGGCCCACACCTCTCGTGGCAGTCTCCACAGAACCAGCCTGGCTGGCCTGGCTCTTATAGTTCTGGAACCCAAGAGTCCTCATGACGTTAATTAAATATAGTTTTAAATCCTAGCTGTAGAAGTCATCTCTCTCTATATATATCCCCCTCACAGATTTATTCTTTCCCTAATAATGAGAAACCCCCCAGGCAGCAGAAGACAATAGCTGGCAAGCTAAAGATAACATCTTGACCTAAGTTATGTTTCAACACCTGAGCCCTCTCGACTGACCCCCTGGCTACTTTCCCTTCAGACCAGACAGAAGAACACAGGGCAGACCTCAGAGTTTAAGAAATTATCGATTACCCTTCCCTCACATCTGACCAATCAGCTCCCAGCACGATGATGGAACCCCCATACCCACAGTGCCTTGTGGTTTTGCCCTATATAATCTGTAACCTACACAGCCTCAACGAGTCCGGTCTTCACAGCATTGGCTACCCACACTTGGGGTTGGTCAATTTTCCAATAAACCTTATTTCTACACTGCAAAGTCTTGCATATGCACTTCTCTTGAGCCAGTGTGCCAGGCATACAGATTCAAGTATTGGGGTCCTGGTAACATTAATTGCAAGATACACCTTAGCAATAACCATCAGGGAACTTTGCAAACACAAGGTTTATTATAACTCCTGGGGGTACACAGCATTTCCAGGGTCAGAGGGAGACAGAGAAAGAGAGAAGACCTGGTATCCGTCTTTATTGGGGTGGAGAGTACGGTGTCTAGGTTTTAGGGGTTCACTCTTTTTTGTTGAATTTAAAACATAAGAGCAGGGATTAAAGCACAGGAAGGGAAAGCAAGTGGTCAAACTGTCAATCAATCTAGGTTACCCATGGCTTTCTAAAAGGGAGACTTCGGGGGGCTCTATATCTAGTTGTGTAGCCCGCAGTCTGTCCTTGAAATGGATGCCACAGTAGTGAAAAGCTCACCATTAGGCGCTAACATTGTAGTGCGGTATACCCTGCAGTTCCTTTGAAGGGTATTGTTACATATATGGATGTATATGGATGCAGTTCCTTCTATCTATGGATGATATATATTGTCATTTTTCATGTGTGAAACATTTCCCTGCTTGGGAAATGTTTCACACATGAAATTACTCTCTAATAAGAGTAGTAATATACTCTTATTTTCTTTGTGCAACTTGCTTTTTTTCTCTCTTTGCTAAGACTAAGCTCCATGCTGGCATGTATCGTTCCCTCAGACTGCACCATCCAGTCTTGTAGCGACTGGCCACATTTGGCTACTGAGCACCAGACCCATGGCTATTTGAACTGATATGGGCTGTAGGTGTAAAGTACATTCTAAGTACATTCTGTGGGTTTCTAAGATGGTATGAAAAACAATAAAATACTTCAAATAATTTTTATATAGATTATATGTTGGAATGATAGTATCTTGGTTATAATGAGTTAAATAAAATATATTGAAATCAGTTTTGCCTGTTTCTTGTGTTTTGTTTTTTTTTAAAGATTTTATTTATTTATCTTTAGAGGGGAAAGGAAGGAGAGAGGGAGAGAACTGGCCTGCAACCCAGGCATGTGCCCTGACTGGGAATTGAACCGTGGTTGCTTGGTTCCCAGGCCTGCGCTCAATCCACTGAGCCACACCAGGCAGGGCTGTTTCTTCTGTTTTTTTTTTTAATGTAGCTACTAGAAAATTGAAAACGATATATGTGGCTTGATTTACAGCTCACATTATCTGTTAGAGAGCTTTGATCTAGATCCTTCCTCTTAATGCTGTCAGTCTGGGTTTTGTTAGTCGTGGTGAAGGAGTAAGCCTTCAATCTGAACAACAGGACCCGTTTACTGTTCACAGATCCTCTTCTAAGTGACTTGTATATCATAACCTGTTCGGTCCCCTGGAAGGCTGCGTGGCCGGCTGCACTAAGTGAGGTGGCGCGGTGTGATGCCACTGCAGGCAGGAAGCTGGCTCTGCCAGGGCTGGCCTTGGAACTGCCAACTGGCCTGGAAAAGCCCGTGAAAAAGTGCGAATCTGCCCAAGGAGGCAATGACAAACAGCTTAATCTGATGACGTCTCTAGCATTATACGGTCCTTACATATCAATAGAACATCTGCTTTTTTGGCTTTTGATAAAACAGTAATGAACAGGTACATATTTATTGTGGCAATTTCAGCTTTAATGAAACCATAAAATCAGAGGGTTTTTTTTTTTTTTGGTATCTGCGTACAATGTTATGAAATCAGCTTTACTCTTTGCCACTAATTATATTAACTATTTTTTAGGGCAAATTGTCAATGCAACATACTCTCATTCGTGCCTCCTATGTTTCAACTGGTTTTCTTTAGCTATGTCTATTTATACCTAAAGTATTTTTTTCTAAAAAAGAAATGTCTTCATATTCTGCCAACAATAAAAGTGAGGCTTGAAATTAAATTATAAAACACAATGAAGGGAAAAGATGACATGCAATTGCCATGGGGATATTATTTTGTCAATCCTCACTCAAAGATGTTTTTATTGATTTGAGAGGGAGACAGAGAGAAAGGGAGAGAAATGTCAATGTGAGAGAAAAACATCCATCAGTTGTCTCCCATGTGCACCCCAAGCAGGGATCGAACCCACAACCTAGGTATGTGCCCTGACCGGGAATCAAACCCTCAACCTTTTGGTGTATAGGATGACACTGTAACTATAACAGTGGAAAATCATAAAAATGGAAAATTATGACCCGTCCCACCATTCTTCAGACATTGTTTCTGTAAGTGCTGACTCTAAAATGCAGCTTGTAGATGAACAGCATATTTGTTTAAGAATCCTGGGAACTGCAAAAGATGGACTCCAGCCTTCAGGCAACCCCACTCCACTGTGCACCACCATCAGAATGGACCATGCTTGTCTGCACACAGAGAACTTTGCAGCCCCCTCCCTTGATCTCTGTTCTGTTCCCTCTCACTCCTGATAAAAACCTCTGCCTGCACTGAGATGTGAGATGTGCTTTGAGATGTGAGTCCCCCATCTTCCAGACGGCTGACATCTGCAAAATAAACCACTTTCCTTTACATCAGCATTTGCCTCTCAAGTACTGGCTTTGTAGGGGCAGGCAACCAGACCCCCATTCAGTAACACAACCAACTGAGCCACCCAGCCGGGGCGCCATGGGGATATTACTGATGAATGTTAAACTGCTTTTTGAATTCTGAATAAAAATTTTACTTCTACATTTCAAATCACAAATTTACAGAACTGGTTGGGACCTGAGGTCTCCCATGTGTTGGTTAAAACCATAAGCTCCGTGTCCGGCAAGCTATGTAACCCTGGGATCAGTATCTTAACCATTGTAAGCCTCAGGTTCCTCCTCTACAAAATGCAGAAAATAACTGCCTGCTGGGGCTAGTTTGTGGACTAAATGAGATAATGATTGTGACTCTGTGCCTTGTAGCTACTTTTATTCCATGGTGGTTGTGGTAATTACTATTATTATTACTATTATATCATCGTTTCCCCAGATGACTCCAAGGGTACACAGTCCCTTCAAACATGAAGAGACTGGTCCTAACCCAACAGGACTTTCTTCTCCACTCTCGACCGGGACTCTTGAACTCTTCCCTTATGCAGCAGGCTACCGTCTGCAGGAAGAAAACCCTTCAGCTTCTCCCTCCACCTGTTCTCCTGCCGGGGGCCCTGAGCAGCTCTCGCTGAAGAAAGCGTATTGAGGCTCATTACTCGAGAGCTTCTACAGCACATCCTCCTACTCCTCTACCTCCTTCTGCAATCTGGCTTCCCTAGCCTCTGCCTCCAGAGACCTCTCCTGACTCAGCTAATGTGGGCATCCACTTTCCTTGGGACCATCCCTTGGCCTGGAGTGTGACTGCAACTCTTGCTACTAGAATGTGGACTTCCTGGCCTCTCTATAAGGCCCATGATGGTAGCCTGAGGAAGGATGGGGCTTTCCTACCTCGTATCTTCTTCCACCTACTAGATAGGCTTATGATGGGTGTCTCCAATGCCCAGAAATTATACTTGTTTTGAGGAACATACCTACAAACCCCCCAAAAGTCACCCACTTTGGTCTTGAATCTTAGGGTGTCTTTAAACCAGACCTTTGGAGGTCAATCATGTATCTGAAGAAAGCAGTTTAGGCTCTGCCATGACCTTGAACTGAAGCAAATTTTAGAGGTGAGGACACTGGAGCCTAGGGGCTTAAGAAACTGGCCCACACACATGGAGACACTGACTTCCTTTCCGGATATGATACTCTATTCCTGCCACCAATCCCTTTCTGCTTTGTATTAGGAAGCCTTCCCACGCCTCCCCCCACATCCAGCACAACATTTAGAAGATGCATATTAAATGTTGAATTACTAGTTCTTTCCCATCTAGCCTTGTGGAACTCGGTGGGGAGCAATCTAGAGGTCTCTCCGTTTCTAGAACTAGCGCGGAGTCCCTCCCCGCCAACTCGGCCAGCTCGCTCTCCTGGGGGCCTCTGCGCGGTCAGGGTTCCGGGTTCTACATCCTTAAGTTCTCAGCGCCAGTAGGCCCAGGGTTTCACAGAACAGGTGCTTGTAATTCAAGTTGCTTCTTCAGAAGGCCTCCTTGAAGGCTGAGCCATGCTGACGCTTATTTACCTCCAGGCTTTCTCTATGAGTGACTTTTGGAGCCTCTTCGTCAAGTGAATGAGAATAAATTGTTTTTCTGAAATAAATCGCCTATTCCTGATAATTCAGCTATCTTTACCACCAAATTCAGGTAACCTACGCCTGCTCACCACCTGTTGCCTAGTAACAGCGAGCCCCGCCCCGCGCCCTAGCGCGCACGCTCACGGCCTTCCTCCAGGTCCCGCCCCCACGGGCGAGCCGGTAGTGACGTACAGGTCCCGCGACACTTTCGGCCTCTGGCTGCTCTCGTCCTGCTTCCCGAGTGACGGATCCACTGACTGACTGACTCGCGGAGTCCCGAGCGCCATGGCGTCCGCCGGATTGGCCACCGGGCGGCAAGCCGAGGACGCGTTACCGCTGCCGGCCGAGCCACCGCTGCCCGAGACGAAGCCCCAGCCGCCACCGCCGGTCGCCGCGCCGCAGCAGCCTTCGCCGGCGCCGAGGCCGCCCTCCCCCGCAGCCATGAAGGAGGAGACCTATTCCTTCTTACCTTTGGTCCACAACATAATCAAATGGTAAGGGCCGCAGGGAGGACCGGCCACGGGCACGCCCTCCTTGTGCCGTAGCAGAACGGCAGGGGCGTAGGCGCGCTCCGGGACGCCCCCATCATAAAAAGCGAAGCCAAGACTCGGTGGAAGAGGCCTGAACCAGGCCGCACTGGGCTGTCCCTGAGGTAGCAGATGCTCTGAGCCTCAAGTGGCCGACCTGGTGATGGGCGGGCACCGGGTGTGCTCACAGGAACCGACCCTGAGCTCCCATGGCGAACCCAGCTCCCAGCCCCGGGCTTTCAGCCGTGACACGGGGTGGTGCTCACTGCGCTTTCTTTTTCAGCAGCTCTGACATGCATCATCTCCCCAGGGTGGCCCGTTGCTGCGTGCGATGTGCACGGTAAAAAGGGCCCCTTCCACTCCCACATTGCTCGCTTGCTGGGGCGCTCACTAGTGAGAGAGAAAAGGACGCGATCGGGAATAACCCCTAGCTCAAAAGGTGCGGAGGGGGGACCGCGAGAACCGTCAAAGCAAGCAGACAAGAGGCCGCTCCGGAGTTGATTCCTGCAGGCCGGTCTCACACCGTCAGAGCAGGGGTTGCGGTTCTTGGGCCAGTCTGCAGGTTACCTGAGCTTTAAAACGTAGCCTACTTACAGTGCAAAGGAAGCTAACAAGGCAACCGAAGCCTCCTGGATCCTGTGTTGGCCAAGCTATTTTTACTGGTGTTATTTATATCTACACGGTACTAGGTGTAAGTTGCTCAGCTTACAGCTCTTATCCAACCATTAAAAACCAAAACAGAGTGAGGTAACACAGGTTTACTGTTGCAGTGACACTCAAGGGAACATTTGTGTCCTCTTGGATGTTTGGTTGAAATGGAATTGCTCCTCACAACATCCAAGTGTTGGTTGTCATGGCCCAGCTTGTCCTGAGTTTAGCCAGACTGGGTTCACTTGAGATGGGACTGCCTGACGCTTCCTCTGCTTTTCAAACAACTACAAGGCTTTGTTCTCACAGTGCACCCCGGCTTCCTTCGGCTTCACTTGGTGTGGCCATACTGTTCAGATGGAGTACACTGTGTTCTGTTCTCATGAATTAGCCTCTGATCATCAGGTGGCACTTCTGGCTGCAGTGAGATTGGAAAAATAAATGCAGGTGCAGCCCCTGCAGCCCCTGCAGCCCCAGGGCAGAGCTGGATCACAACTGTACTGGTTTTAATACAAATATGGAAAAACGAAAACACACTAGGACACGGTCCCAGAGATAGTTCTTATCCCCCTGGAAGTAGTACTGTTCTTGAGCCTCAGTAGAACAGTCGCTTTGGGCTGCCCTTAAATGGGGCTGTGAGGTACACTGAGTAAACAGGCTTCAAGGGCAGAGCCTTGGGTTTGGATTTCATGCTGATGCTTGCTTGCCTTGTGCTCTTGATGAATACATAGCCTTTCTAAGGCCTTGATTTTTAAAATCTCTAATATATGAATAACAATAATGGGCCTCAAACAATGAATTTGAACTATAGCTTTATAATGTACTGACAGGGTGACCATGGTTGAACAACTTAGCTTTTCTGAGCCTCTTTTTCTCTTGTGAAATGGGACTAATGATACTTGAATCATAAGATTGCTGTGAGGTGTACTCGAGCAGTCTGGTGAAGGTGTTGATGGGTTGTTTATATGTGTTTGTCTTCTCTAAAAGGACAAGGACGAACCAAAAGATCGCGGTTCGATTCCCCGTCAGGGCACGTGGGTGGGTTGAAGGCCAGTTCCCAGCAAGGGGTGCACCAGAAGCAACCATACATTGATATTTCTCTCCTCCTTCCCTTCCCTTCTAAAGATAAATAAATAAAAATTAAATAATAAAAGGACAAGGAAAAGTTGTGTTTTGGGGGGGTTGTTTTTTAATCCTCACCTGAGGATGTTTATTGATTTTAGAGAGAGAGGGAGGGAGGTTGGGGGGAGAGAGAGAAATACCGATGTGAAAGAGAAACATTGATCAATTGCCTCCTGTATGCGCCTCGATGGGGTGTTGAACCAGCAACCTAGGTATGAGTGTAGGCCAGGGATTGAACACACAACCTTTTGGTATATGGGATATGCTCCAGTCAGCTAAGTCTCCCAGCCAGGGCCGTTTGGTTTGGTTTGGTTTGGTTTTTAACACAAAACAAACAAACCAAAAAACAGGAGAGGAGATAATTGCCACAAAGCAGATAGCCAAGGGCCAACCCACAATCAGCCCCAAGAAGCAGCCAGAAGCAGCTGCTTTTGACCATGTCCTCCCCCTAAATCTCAGGAAGACACCTGTGGAAATAGAGGGGAAGGGAGACCGAGAACAGGAGGATTACTTAAAGGTTAATTTAAGGAGATCCCCATAGTTCTCTCCCCCAAGTACGGGCAGACAGGTAACAACCCCTCTTCCAGTTTGGAAGACAAAGGGTTGCTCTTTTCCAAGATTTATTCTCAGGAGAGAATGAGCCAGAGATTATCTCAGAAACTAGGCACTTCGCAGGAGTTTGAGGGGAGGGAACCGTCCTGAATATAGGGCTTAAGACAAAATTCACACACTGAATAGTACTAAGACCCCACCCTTGCCTTCCCTCACCTGTCTTCTCCCCTGGCAGCCAAAGTAAATAGGGGTACCTTTTCTTGAGTGACCAACCCAAGGGAAAAGTCACTGGGGGTCCCCTAGAAAAGAACCTAGTTAGTTCATATGACTGGATAACCAAGGTCACTAAGCATTTGAAGAAAACCCCTAGGAAGAAAGGACAAAGAGGAGCAGAAAAGCCACTTGGTTGACATGGTAGGCACGAAGTGAAGGAGAGAGAGGGTAACCATGAAAAAAAGGCTAGGATCTGATTTTAAAATATGCCGAAGTATGTATGTGAGTTTCTAGGCTAATGAGGGAAAGGGATGTACTGAGGTCGGGCAGTGATGGGAGAAGAGACCTTGTGAGGCATGGAGGAGTCAGAAGTCTCCCGAAGGGGTGAGCCAGTGATGCGTCTTAAATTATGAGAGGGAGGGCAGGGGTGGGGCTGTGGGAAGAGCAGGTGTAAGGATGGGGCACCAAGAAATAGCATCAACTCATGCAGGTCCATTCATTTTGGTGGGGCTGGAATGCAGATACAAGGTGGGAAGGAAGCACCAGAAAGGCGAGAAAAGCCAGGATACTAACAACTGTGTGTCCCCCTGAGGAAGTGAGATTTTGTTCTTTGAGGGAGCTGGTGAAGCTTTTGGACTCCAGGGTGGCTTAGTCAGATTTGTGCTCATATCAGGTGGATGTGGTGTCTCAGCAAACAGGCTGGGAAGCCAGGTGGGGAGGACATGATCCTGGTGGGCCTGGGGAAAGGAAATACCGGCCAGGGCCACATCATTCACCTGGTCTCTTCTTCTTCTGTAGATTCTATGGTGGCCCTTTCTTTATTTGTTTTCTCCTCGCCTAGGGAGTGAATGAGGAAATAAAAGCAGAAATGAGTTTAAGCTCTCTTGTTCTGGTAAGAATTAAGAGTACTACATCATTAGGTTAATGAAAACATTTTATTTTTAAAAAGTTAAAATTGCAAGTTCAGAAAGATATAAAATGAAGGATTTCTTCTCCTAAGTTACTTGTGTTAATATTTTAAGAATCCTTAGCAACAAGATTTGTGAATTTAAAATTTTGATCACTGTTAGTAAAGTCATAAAGAATACACTAATTTATGCCTCAGCAACAATGTATTTATCTTTCCCAAACCCCTTCCATCACCATTAACTTTTTAATCTTGGCTAATCTGATAAGTCAGAAATGATACATTGTATCAATCTGTGTCTTATGAGGTAAATCATTTTTTCATATGCAACTTTATATGTCACTTGTTATTTTCTTCCCTATAAACTGCTCATTTTTCTATTAGGTTATTCCTCTTTTATGAGTTCTCTATGCAGTAAGAAAGTATGCCTTTGTCAAGTGTATCGTAAATATTTTCCTGGAGCTGTTGCTTTTCTTTTGACTTGAGGGGGTTTGTTGTTGTTCAGAAGCATATCATTTTATGAGGCAGATTGAGTAAGATCTTCCTTTATGGCTTCTGAGTTTTGGTCCTAGGTAAAAGGTCTACTGTAATAGTATCCTAGACGTTGATCCCTTTTTTCTAGGACTTTTATGGTTTCACTTTTTATTTTTAATTCTTTGATGCTTCTGGGTTTATTTTTATGGAAAGAGTAAGGGAAAGACCCAGGTTTTCCTGCAGTTAGCCGTATCTTCCCACTGCTGCTACTGAATATTTATGATTTTCCCATGTTCCTGATCTAATTCTGGAAATTCTATTCTCCAGTACCAAACTGTTTTCCTTGTCAAATCTTCATGGTGCATTGCATTTTTTCCTTTCTTTCTTTCTTTCTTTTTTTTTAATAAACACACTTGATTTATTTTGTATAAAAGGGTTAAATTTACAACTAAACATTTATAAAAAGTTTAGCATAAAGTACATCATTACACTTTGTATGCAGAAATACTGAATTGTCTTTCAAGGCAAGTCTTCTCTCTGTTGTCTTTCTTGTCAAGATTCACCTGTGGCATCTTTACCTTTCCCAGCCCATTTCCTAGTAACAGGTCTGAGATACCTTGTGCTTTTGGTTAGTAGAATAGTTAGGCTTTAATCTACTGCTTTATTTCCAGTGGGCTTTATTCCACTAATGGTCCAGGTTTTCTAACTTCATTTTTGGATCTTATAATCACTTCTTCATTTGTCTCTTTACCTTCATCTTCTCTCTCTAATTTATCCTGTATATGTTAATGGATTAATTTTTCTCTGCTCAAAAAATCTTTCCAAATTGTTTTTGCCAGTGTTTAGTCCTCCATTCAGAGATCTCTGCAAAGCATCTTCAAATCTTCTGCCTGAACTATGCAACAAAGCCCCACATGAGTGACTCTCCTGCAAGTGCCTTGTGGGTGGGTGGAGTCATCAGACTTGTGTGCACTCCAGAACCTCTGCTGGCATATGCCCTACTGCCCTCTCTCTGACCAGGGAAATGCCACATATTTTCAGGGACTTGCTC